CCTCGTGTAGCTTTGCGCGAAATTCCAAAACAAACAAACAATTTCAAAGTAACACTGAATATCTGAATAACTGAGACTGTGAGAATGTAATAAAGAGATTGTACACAATATAAAATATAAATACACAATCTATATTTATTCACAAACACAGTTTGTGTGTATACTTGCTTTACTCACACAAGATAGTTGCTTCTACTGGATTAGGTATTTTCAATTGATTCGGCCAACTACCAGACTATTTAAATTCAACGTTCCTTACTTTGCAGGTATTCATTTACACAAAGCAGCTAGCACTACTTACGTGATTGGTAATTCTCATTTAAGCATAGGGAAGCTATCCTATTATGTAGCTTTGCACTTAACAACAAGCAAGCAAACAAAGAAACAAACAAATACTCAATGCTATTTCTTATTCACACTATTTTATAGAACCAAGAAAGCAAGTACCGTTCAATATTATTAATTCTTTAGTAACGAATATGTCAGTAATCATTGCAAAAGTACTCTTTAACACCGATTATATATAATTACACTTCATAAGTCAACGTAGAAGCTTCCTTATTCACCTTGGACTTGTTCGCTGCTAATATTGTTGGTTCTAGAATTGGCAGTGGCATTTAGACTGTCATAATGTCTCTAGTCATCAAGTTAGTGGTGGTGATAATCAATAAGATATTGGTAATTGGAGTTTGACCTTTATCACTTGGCTTTGAAACACCTCCTTGGAACCCAGTCGACCCCTCAAATAGACTTTAACTCTAGAAACGTCTTTCTTGGCTTCGAGATGTAGTGGTCCCACCAGAGGTAGGTAAACATCTGGTAGGGATTCCATGAGGTGGCCAAGCACATTTCTAATGGCATTAGATTGGTGGCTACAAATGTTTAGTTGACCAAAGAGACTCCTTCTTCACAGTGTCTAGGGAAGGTACTAAGGACATCATAGCTCTTTGGGACACCTGCAGGCTTGGTTATGTCGGAGGTTTGGGGTCCAGTGGCTTCTTTGCAGCTGGTTCTGGTATGTAGATAGTGGGCTTAGTTTTTACTGGATGGATCATGGTTGATGGGGCTGGATGGCCATGGGAAACTTTAGGTCTAGTATGATTACTAATGCAGATAGATCTCACAAGGCAGATGCACCCACACATAGGAGTAATTTACGGGCGGGGACATGTTCCATTCACTTTTTGAAGTGTAGCAAATCCCCCCCCCCACTTTTTGAAAAATGGCAGCATTTTACTTTGTGGTTTAACTAGATCTCTCTCTCTCTCTCTTTTTTACGTAAAACCATTTGTCACAACAAACAAAGTCTGCACTAGGACCAGAAACTTATGTAAAATTGCAGCTGCCTCAGTCTTGGCACAGCTTGTGTGAGTGTTTGAAACACAGGCAGGCAGTTGGTCACTGGCAGCTAAGGAAGAAGAAGCAAAAATCATCTGTCTAGCGAGCTGAATCTATGGTTTTCAAATACCAGTAAAGTTGGATAAAGTATGTCCATGATTTCACTGCTATAAATCTCAGATAATATCTGTGTGGACAAATAAATGTATCTGTAAAAAGTGGTTGTCTGTACTGTTAGTGTAAAACAACGAATTAAGGACTTTTTTAAAACTGATTAGAAAACTCGCTGTAGGAGCCAAGCTATAGTGTTTTGAAAAGAAATGTTTGTTTTCTTGTTTTTGTTTATTTTTGAAAACAACAATGTAATCTAGCCTTAGTTTTTGTTCTTGTTTTGGTTATGAGTCTGTTGTTGAGCAATTCAATGACAAGTACAGTTTTCTGACAATTAAGGCTTTAAGACGTGGAGAAATAAAATCGTAAAACTATAAAGGTATAAACTTAGGAGGCTATTGTCGAAAACACATGCATGTGACTACTGTGAAT